TCGCTGCCTGCCCTGGGGCGTCCTGCCCCGCCGCCGCCCCTTGCCTCCTGGCGCGCCGGCCTTCTGCAAGTTTTGTCCAGGCGCTGCCTGTGGCTCCCCGCTGGCCCTTGCCGTGCTTCGCCGGCCGGGCGACACTCGCTACACTGCCTGTGTCCCCCATCTGCCGGGCTTTCTGGTCACCTCCCCAGCGCCGGCTACCGGTGTCTGGCCGCTGCTGCTCCCGTGGCACCTCGCCGCTGTCGGTTTCTGCCCAGTTGGCCTGGTGGCCTCGGAGTCCACCTTGTTCGCCCCACCTTGCCCGCCGCCCCCCCATTGGGCGTGGCCTTCTCGCGTTCCCCGCCTGCACTCGCCGCCGCTTGCCGCCGCCTTTCTCCACGCCTGTGCCTTTGGCTCGCCCTGGGCTCGGCACTCGCCCCCTCTAGGCCTCGGCACCCGCTGTGGTCTGGGTGTCGCTTGCTTCGTGCCTCCTCGCCTCGCCGCTGGCCAAGCACGTCGTGGCGTCGGCTGTCGTCCCGCCTGCGCCCTGGGCGCGCCGCTCCCCCACATGGCGTGGCTTTGCTCCTTCCCGCCCTGGTGTATAGGCTCAGGGGAGAGGCCAGAAATCGCTAGACGATGATTTGGTGTTTCCGCCGGAGGCGTCGTGGCGCCCTGCCCAAACCCGCCGCCCCTGAGGCGAAGAATGGTGTCGCGAGCCATCCGGGGCGCATTCTCGAAGTGGCCACCTCTTCGTTCTACGGACACCCTCACCCCTATATGCGCGCCGCACTCCCCCGCGCGAGTCCGGGGGTACTGGTGTGTTTTGCAAGCAGGACACGCCCCCGGCTGCGAGTGTTTAGATTGCCGCGACTTGTCGCGTGCAGTTTTCCAGCCTCCTCCTCCTCCTCCTCCTCCTCCTCCTCCTTCCTCATTATCTGCCTCCTCGTCCTCCTCCTCCTCCTCCTCGCCTTCCCCCTCCTGCCCCTCGCGCTTCGCTTCCTCGTCCTCGTGGCTCTCACACTCGCCTCGCGACGTCTCGGACCACGCGGCCAACGACCGGGCTAAATCTGGGCTAGAAGTGGGCTGAAAGTGGGCTAAAAGTGGGCTTAATGTGGGCAAGGGCTAGAAGTGGGCTAAAAGTAAGCTAGAAGTGGGCTGAAATGCTCCAGCGAATCACCTCCGCATCCTCGTATGCCCCGGCGAGTCTCCGCCGCATCCTCGTAATGCGAATTGATGAGCCCAGTTGACGTTTTTCTCTATCCGGTCACCCGAGAGTTTCTAATGTTTGTTTCGATTGATCGTGTAATCTCGCCACCACGGCTGTATTCCCGCATCCCTGGCGAACCTCCGGAGCGCGCAACTGAAAGGCCGGGCACGCGCGGGCTAAAAATGGACTAGAAGACGGCTGCAAGTGGGCTAAAGTGGACTAGAAGTGGGCTAAAAAAGTACACCAAATGTGAGCTAAAAGTGGCCTATAAATGCGCTGGACATTCGCTAGCAGTGGGTTAAACAGTTTGCTAAAAGTGGGCCAAAATTTGGCTACAACTAGGCTTAAAGCGGGATGCAGTTCAGCAGTGGGAGAATCGGCGAAATACTCAGGCACACGAGACAGGGGGAAGGAGGGACAGGGAGGAGGAGGCGGTGGGGCAGAGAGTGGCTGGCCACTACCCGCTGAAAAATCACATGGCGCACATGGGCACTTGCTCCCGCGCTCGCACGCGCGCACAGGATACCCGCGCGGGCGCCAGAAATGCACCAGGGCGCTGCGCCCTCGCAGCGAGCTAAACCGTGCCTTCGCCACATGGGCCACACAGGTGCGAAAACATACGCCTCGGAACCTACAGCCTATAATCGGCAAGGGGCCAAAAGCGGCAAACGGGACTACGATTTCGGCAAACGGAGATGATTACCTAAACTGCGTCGGGCCTCAAACCCGAGCCTCAACAAGCCCTGGCTTGTTGCGCCGTTGAGCATCGCCGGGCTGTTTCTCAACTCCGCGCCTTGCGCCTCGTGGGTCCTCCCGGTCTCGGCGCCTCCCACCGTTGCCGACGTTCGGGGTGCTCCCCCTTCGGCAGCGGGTCGGGACTCTGCTTCGCCTCCCCCGCTCACCCTACAGTCGAGGCGTTTTCCATAAGGTCAACTTCGACTTCCCATCGAAAACCCCCCTCGGCGCCCTCGCCCCTGCCCGCTGCCACCCCCCCCTGCCCGCGCCTCGCAGGCCTGCCCCAAAATTGTCAAACGATACTCAGAAAATGCTCCCCGTACTGTTCTTGCCTATTTTGGAATATTCCTCCTGTAGAGGGACAGGCCCGACTTAAGGCAAGCCTCGGCGCATCGATTCATCCTTGGACCGTGCCTCGGTTCACTGGGCTGGGGCTCTGCTACGGTAAGTTTATCTGGCACGTGTTGCAGCTCAGTGCTGCTTCGCCCCCCGCTTCAGCGCTGCTCGGCTCAGTGCAGCTCGGTGCCGGCGCTGACACCCTACCTCGGTGTTCCCCCCCGCCGCAGTCGGCAGCCCTTATCGGGCTGCCTGCCTTCCCCCTGCCAACACGCGTTTCGCAGGCCCGCAGGTCTCGGCGGACTGGCCCATCCCTGGACCGTGCTTTGATTCACTGGGTCGGGATATGCTACGCTGTGTTTCTCCATCACCAGCTGCAGCTCAGTGCTGCTTCCACCCAGCTTCAGCTCAGCGCAACCCAATGCAGCTCAATGCTGGCGCTGTTCCTCCCCCCCGGCGCTCCGCCCCCGCCGCAGCCGGCAGCTCGGAATAGCCCAGCTTCGTCTCTTCCTGTCGCGCCGTGGTTCCTCCTCCTCCTCCTCCTCCTCCTTCTGTACATTGCGGCTTTAATTTGCATGCAGCGCGTCCCCTGTTGCTAACCCGCCGGGGCAATCGCCCTGCGCCTACCCGCCGAGGGGGGGGGGGGCATTTGAGGAGGCAGAGAGGCTCTTCGACATTGTCATGTTACGCCGTCTCTTAGGAGCCCAGTTTTTGAAGCCGCCAATCCCATCCAAAAAGCCCTCTGCCTCGTTCGAAGGCCCTCCCCGCCCCCCCATCCAAATCCACCCGCTAAGTAATGGTCCCGAGACCCAGCCTCAGGGTCTAACCTAGCAAGTTCGCCCAACAACGTCTGGCCATGGTGGCGAGAAAAAGTGAAGGAGGGGGAGGGAGGAAGGGGAAGGAAAAGGAAGAGAGAAGATGAGGGAAGAGGGGAAGCTGGAGGAGGGGGGAGGAGCTCGAGGACGACGAGGAGCACGAGGGAAGAGGAGGAGATGGAGGACGACGACGACGAAGAGGAGGAGGAGGAGGAGGAGGAGGAGGAAGAAAGCATCAGGGGCGGTGGCTGTCGTCGCCGCGCATGCGCGCCGCCCTCCCCGCCCCCCGCGGCGCACCGACAGCCCCGCGACGGAGAACAGCGCTGGGCCGCCCGACGGACCCGCGCACCTGGCCTGCCTCGCGCACCACAGGGCCGCGAGGTCCGCCTGGGCGGGCCGCGCCGCATGGCGGCGGCGGCCACCACGGCGACAAGCGACCGCAACGGCGGCGGCGGCCACGGTGGGGACGGCGGCAGCGGCGTCGACATCGTCGTCGCCGTCGCGGGCGCGTTGCCCTTCCCCTTCCTCTTTCTCTTCCTCTTCCTCCTCCTCCTCCTCCTTCTCCCTCTCCACCCGTTCTTCCTCTTCTTCTTCCTCCTCCTCCTCCTCCGCTTCCTCCTCCTGCTCCTCCTCCTCCTCCTCAGCCTCCTCCTCCGCCTCTCCCTCCTCCTTTTCTTTCTCTTCGTCCTCTGCCTCCTCCTCCTCCGCCTCCTCCTCTTCATATTTCTCGTAGTATTATGAATAGCAGTATTCGCATTATGATGCTTAGTGTTACCATTATTCGTGCTTCAGCTTATTAGTAATATACGTTTTGCCACGTTTCGCTTCTTCGTATCGTGTTTATGTTCATAATCGTATTCGTAGCATGCTTATTCTTCTCAATTCAATGTGATTAGCACTCTGTTCCTGATATGGATGTTCCTCTGAGTAGTGTCAGTCATGTTGGTATGTTGGTATGTCATATTGGTACAATTATGTTTCATGGTTATTATTGTTATTGATTGTGCTAGTCTTCTCCTGGTTAGTAGTATGAGTATGTTTCATCGCTTAAGCCGCTGAAGCGAAATCTTCTCATGCCTCAGAGCCTTACTTTGCTTTGGGGGCAGAAAAACTGTTATGGCAGCTGACGCGGCTCTCTACTTTTTCCCAAATCTCCTGCATTGGGTTCACGTTTTGAATAGACAACTGCGGTCTCCGCCTCCTCTCTCCCCTCTCCCTTTCACCGTGATCTCACCTTGCTCCTACCTGCGTGCCAGCTTGCCTTCTACCTGGCCATCCCCCGGGCACTGCGATTTGCGAAACTGTCGCCACTCTCGAGGGCTGCAAGGGGGTCCAGCGGGGTGGTGTCCCACGCGCCCTCGAAAGTGGCGACAGTTTCGCAGACCGCACCCCCCCAAGGATGGCGAAGTCGAGCCCGCGTGGGACACCACCCTGCTGGACCCCCAGCAGCCCTCGAAAGTGGCGGCAGTCTCGCAGATCGTAGTTCCCCAAGGACGGCGAAGTTTAATTTGAGTCCGTATGGGACGTCACTCCTCTTTACGCCCCAGCAGCCCTCGAAAGTGGCGACAGTTTCGCAGGGCGCAACCCCCAGGGCTGGCGAGGTTGAATTTGAGCCCGCGTGGGACACAACCCCGCTGAATCCCCAGCAGCCCTCGAAAGCGGCGACAGTTTTGCAGATCGCAGAACCCCAGGGGGTTGCGAGGTATAAATTGAGCCCGCGTGAGACGTCGGTCCTCTGGACACCCGGCGGCCCTCTAGAGTGACGACAATTTCACAGACCGCAGCCCCCCGGGAATGGCGAGGTCTGCTCTGAGTCCGCGTGGGACGTCACTCCGCTGGACCCTCCAGCAAACCTCGAAAATGGCGACAGTTTCACAGACGCGGACTCAAACTAGACCTCGCCAGCCCTGGGGGGTCTGCGACTCGCGAAACTGTCTCCACTTTCGAGGGCTGCTGAGGGGTCCAGCGGACTAACTTCTTACGCGGGTTCGAATTCGACATCGTCATCCCTGGGGGGGCTGCGATCTGCGAAACTGTTGCCACTTTCGAGGGCTGCTGGGGGGTCCAGCGGAGTAACGTCTTAACCAGACAAGGTTGGACCCCGCCATCCCTGGGTGGCTGTGATCTGCGAAACTGTCGCCACTTTCGAGGGTTGCTGGGGGGTCCAGCAACCCTCGAAATGCTGGTCCCACGGACCAACATTATTACTTGGAGATTTCAATGCAAGGCTCTTGAAGAGATTCGCTGGCGAGGACACTGTTCTAGGGGAGTATGCGTTTCGTAATGCGAGAAGCAAGTGGGACCCACCCCTCAACAAAGAACTTCTTCTCGAATTCTGCACATCAACAGGCGCATGCATCGCAAACACCTTTTTCGACACACCGCCGGAGCACAATATTACGTTTTACGACATTGGCACGAAACCTATGGACCTAATAGTGCCGGGCAAGTTCGAGCAACTCCACCACGTCATCGTTGACAACAGCTGGCTTTCAAATATCCGGCTTGTCTGGAGTGACCGGGAGCGTGCATTGCAATCCCATCATTTCTTGTGCGTTGTCGATATGAACGTTGTCATTCCTATCGTTGAACGTTCCCGGCGACCTCTGCGATACGATTGGAAGTCTCTGCGAAACGAGCCAATCGCCAAAAAAAGCATTGACGGCTTCATCAACAATTGGGAATACGCAGCCTTGCCATTCAGCACAACATAAAGCAACAACGAAAGCTCAATGTATGATGGATTCTGCTTCGGATCACGTTCCGCTTCTCTCAGCCACGCCTCACATGCCATGGATTTCATCACGGACTCTGTTTTTGATTGAGCAAAAGAATGAAGCAAGATTGCGGAGCAGTCACGAAGAAGTAAAAGCGCTCAACAAACAACTGCAAATATCTGCGCGGGCTGATAAGAAGCAGTGGCTAGACGAAACGATTGGAAACGGAGGTTGGCAAGCCGCCCGTTCTCTCCGGGAAAAAACAAACACCAGGCCACGGACGATTACGAGAAAAACATGGGAATTTGGTGGACGCCGAGAAGAAAGCAGAGACAATGGCAGATTATCTGGAAGAGGAGCAATGGAAATTATACAAAGGTCCCAAAGAACTCCCGGATCTGGACAACAATGTCGCATTTCTACAGATTGATACTGGACCCGTCACGTTGGAATAGGTACGCTGGGCAGTCAAGTTTCTACGGGTTCAGAGAGCAGCTGGGAATGACGGAATGCCTCCAGACTTGTGGCGCGCATTATGGTGAAACGACAGCGCGCTGCACATCATCCGCGAGCATTGCGACACTTGTTGGTAGAAAAGCAAATTCCAGAAGAATGGCGGGAGGCTTCCATTGCCACGTTTTTCAAAAAAAAGGGGGACATGTCGCAACCAAGCAATTATCGCCCTATCTCCCTCTTGGCCGTGGGATACAAGGTATTGGCGAGCATTTGGCTGCATAGACTCAAATCAGGAGAAGTAGAACAGCGCCTTTGGGAGTCGCAGTATGGACTCAGATCAGGAGGCGGCACAGCAGATGCATTATTCTTGGCTCGCCGACTCATCGACGCCACATTGGAGGACAAGCATGATGAGTTGTTGATTTTATTGTTGGATTGGAGCAACAGTTTCGACCGTATCAAGCCTGCTGGTTTACTACACGCTTACGTCAGTTTGAAATCGCCACAGCTATCATTGATATGTTTCAAAGATGGGCAGGACAAGTCCTCTCAGCGACCTCAAAATGCAGGCACAGCACAGGGCTGCCAACTATCTCCGCATTTGTTCGTCATCATGATGTCGGTTCTGATGGAGGCCGCGGACGCCGAGAGGAAGACAGACGTGCCGGAAGGCAGCAGCAAACCGTACATCATCACAGATGACTTCTTGTACGCAGACGACACACTTTTGGTATCTGAAGACGGGGCGTGCCTCCAACGTCATCTGAATATCGTGGCAAAGATTGGGAAAACTTTCGGATTGGAGCTCAACGAGGGTAAAACCGTACTATTACAAATAAGGGCTTCAGCGATCATTCTTGGGCCTGGTGGAGAGCCAATTCAATGCAAAGATCACGCAATTTGTTTGGGTGGTTTTTAAAGCGTGGATGGGAATGCCAAAGCCGAGTTGACAAGGCGCCCGGGGGAAGCCAAGAGTGCTTTTCAACAACTCAGTGCTGTATGAAACCATGCGAACGCATCCCGGCGACGGAAGAGACACATGTTGGAGGCATGTATCTTCTGCAAGCTGCCCTATGCTTTGGAATCGTGTGTGTTGTTGGCTGCTGGCCAGGAACGGCTCGATGGGTTCCGAGCGCGCTGCCTCCGCAGGATCTACCAAAATCCTCCCGGCCTTCATGTCTCGGGTGAGCAACGCAGATGCGAGGTCCACCCGCCCTCTTTCAGCCGCTCTCTTGCGGAAGCAGTTGGATTTGTACGGCAAGCTGGCAAGAGCCCACCCGAGCACTCTACCTCGGCGCGTGGTTTTGAGGAAGGCCGAGCCTATAGTATGTTGCCCAGGGACGGGCGCTCCTCTCGCAAGCGCGGAAGACCCCAATTGCTGTGGGATGCATATATGCACGCGCGCGCCTTGAGCCTAACGGGAGACGACCCCGATATATATATGTATATATATGTGTATGTATATATGTATATGTATATGTGTATATGTATATATACACATATAAACATACATATACATATAAATAAACATATACACATACACATACACATTCACATACATATACATATACATATACATATACATATACATATACATATACATATACATATACATATACATATACATATAATCTACATATACATATACATATACATATACATATACATATACATATACATGTGCATATACACATATATATATATATGTATATGTATTACAGAACCTACTGAAATCTCCAGCAGCCCAATGGGAAGCAGCTGTCCGACGCTATTACCGATCATTGTGACTATGGTTATCAATTTGTTCTCCTCCCCCCCTCTCTCCTTCCCTCCCCCCCTCCCCCCCTTTCCCCTCCTCCCTCTTGCATGCCGTGCTGGTGTAATTCCCTCCGCCGCCCACCACTGTGATATGCAGTGGCTGCGTTCCGGCGCATTCAGCTCGGAATTGTCCCCGCATGAGTTTTCCTGGCCTTTTGTAGTTTGTCATGCTCTGCCGATGCGCCGTCTAGGCGCGGCTTCTTCCTGTCCTGTTCTTGGGGGTCCAGCGGAATGACATCCTACGCGGACTCAACGGAAACCTAGCCATCTTTGGGGGGGTGCGATCTCCGAAAGGGTTGCCACTTTCGAGAGTAGCCGGGGGTCCAGCGGGTTGACGTCCCACGCGGACTCAAATGATACCTCGCACCCCCTGGAGGGCTGCGATCTGTGAAACTGTCGCCACTTTCGAGGGCTGCTGGGGCGTCCAGAGGAGTGACGTCTTACCCAGACTCATACTGGACCTCGCCAGCCCTGGGGTGGCTGCGGTCTGAGAAACTGTCGCCATTTTCGAGGGCTGCTTGGGGGGCCAACGAAGCGACGTCGCACCACCCAGGTTCAGATTAGACGTCGCCGTCCCTGGGGAGGCTGCAATCTGCGAAACTGTCGCCACTCTCGAGAGCTGCTTTGGGGTCCAGCGGAGCGAACCACCACTCATACTCAAACTAGACCTCGCCAGCCCTGGGGGGGGGGCTGCGGCCTGCGAAACAGTCGCCACTTTCGAGGTGAGCTGGGGGGTCCAGCGAAGTTGGGTCCCACGCGGGCTCAGATTAGACATCGCCATCCCTGGGGGGCTGCGACCTGCGAAGCTGTCTCCACTTTCGAGGGCTGCTGGGAGGTCCCGCGGGGCGCTGTCGCGGGCCGCCCGCAGGCCTGGCGGCGTGCCTTCGAGCTCGTCCTTCTGTTGTTGCCGTGTGAGTCGTGCCAAGTGAGAGCGCCCTGTGTAGATTGCACAACATATAACAGCGCCTGCACTGTCATTGGCCTGGCAAATTTGGGCCAACTCTTCTTGTCACCTGATGCAAGTGAAGTGGGTTGGGTTCGTCGCAAGACAATCATCCTTCGCTGGGCTCTTACTTGTTTTCCCTCCTCGGTCTTTCATGGTCCCAAGAGAGCCCCTTTATGTTGCCAAGAGGGCCCCAAGAGGCGCCCAAGAGGCTCCAAGGAAATCCCCAAGAGGCTTCCAAGGACTCCCAAGCGGTCTCAAGAGCCTCTCCACCCCCAAGATGCTTCAAGAGACCCCCAAGAAGCCCTCAAGACGCCCCAAGAGGCCTCAAAACGGCACCAAAGAGGCCTCCAAACGGCACCCAAGGGGCCCCCCGAGATATCCCAACGAACAACCTAGAGTCATATGACCCACAATCCAGCCACGGTGGCGGGATGGGCCGAGGGCCGTTCGATCCGCCGCCCCCTGCTTGCAGGGGTGCACGGCGTGCTGGACGTTTCAGGTTTTGGTTTTGGTTCTTTTTCTAAAAGAACTCCCCAGTGGGCTTCGGCCCGTCCCGCCGGCCACCCGCGAATTGCCCAAAATGCGTCTGTCAATGCCCAAAAACGGCCGTTTCGCTCGGGACATCCTCAAAAAATCGCGAAGATGGCCCAAGATGGCCTCCAAGTTCGCCCGAGATGGTCCAAGACGGCCTCCAAAACGGCCCAATAGAGTCCAAGACGGCCCAAGACGGCCCAAGAGGCCCCCCAGAGGCCTCCCAGACGGCCCAAGAGGCCTCCAAGAGGTCCTCCAGGAGAGTCCGAAGAGGCCAAAATCATTGATTTTCCCTTGGTTTTTGAAGGATTTTGGCATTTGCGCCTTTTCGGCTCTCCGACGGCTCAAGACGGCCCAAGAAGCCCCCAAGATCGCCCAAGAGGCCCCCAAGAGAGCCCCATGATGGCCCAAGTGGCCTCCAAGATGGCCCCTAGAGGGCGCCAAGAGGGCCCAAGAGGCCTCCAACACGCCCAAGATGGCCTCCCAGACGCCCAAGATGGCCTCCAAGACGGCCCTGGAGCATTCCAAGCGGGCCCCAAGTCGGCCCATAGAGGCCCCCCAAACGGCTTCCGACGGCTTCAGACGTGCCAGGAACCCACCAAGATGGCCGAAGTTGGCTCGAAGGTGGCCCGAGACGGCCCAAAAAGCCCCAAAGATCGCCCAAAGCTTGCCCAAGAGGCCTCCAAGACGGCCAAGATGACCTTCAAGATGCCCACGTGTTCCCCGAAGGCTTTCCAAACCGATTCGGGGAACACGTGGTCCGATAGCTTGGCAGGTCTGGCCTCAACGTTCGGCCACATAGGCGCTTCCAAAAAGGCAGGGGGCGGCGGTGATTCGCCGTAGGCGTCTTCGATATGATGCAAAGTGACATTGTTTGCACGCTCGGAAACGGCACGGACAAAATGGATACATTACTCAACAGCAAGTGTTGCTAAAAAGCGACAGCGGTCGCTGTTGCGCAGACGCCCCGCCTCATGTCTCAGGCAGACAACGCCCGCGGCGAGACCGACAACGAATCATGTCCAAAATTGGAATGACTTGCTGTGGATCTCCGTCCCCCTTCTTTCCGTGCCTGTTGCGCTCGTGCCGAACAGCGCAGGACCCGTGGAAGGACACCTCATGCTGGGGTCAGAAGCAACGTAAAGGAGGACACTGGCTCAGGCTGAAGCGTCTGCCTGGAATCGGCCATACATCGCGCCGATAAACCGGCGCTGGGCCCCCGATGGCAAACCGCACGATCTTGGGCAGGGTAGGCTATCGGCAATCGGCTATCGGATCGGGCTGATCTCGGCGATCAACGGGCGATTGAGGGTCGATACATCACCCCTAAGTCAATATCAGTCCCCAGTGGCTTTCAAGCCTTCTCTCGGGCCTCCAGCGGCCACTCGGGACGATTTCCGGAGCCCCGGAACGCTCTCGGCGAAGCGCAACTGCCAGAGCATCCCGAGGCTGAAGACAGCCGATGCCCGATGAAAACGCAGCCTCGAACCTCGAAGCTGTCGTCCCCCAGAAGACTATCCCCCCTAGTTCGGCGGTGGACAAACCTCCCTTTAGCAAACCACCCTAAATAATAAAAACGGCCGGGAACCGAAACCAACGGACCTGGACCCGCAAAAATGACGGCCGCGACGCCCTCTCACGGCCAATTCGCTAATCGACGTGTCAGGGTAGGAGGTCTATCAACCTCCGAGTAATTTTAAGTCGGGCGCGTCCCCCTACAACTGGGATTTTCGACGAAAATTTAAAATACCCCAAAAATGCACCAAAAAGGCAACAAACAAAAAAACTATTTTTGGATTAATTTAGCCCCTGTAGGGGGACAGGCCCGAGCTAAGACTAGTTAGCGTTGCCCCTGCTGGGATCTCCGGAGGTCTCCCCCTGGTGGCCGCGGGGTTGGCCCCCGTGGGCCCCCTGGCAGCCTCGCCGAAGAGCCCAGGAGGCGCCACAGGCGCCACCAGAGGAGCAGGAGCAAGAGGACGAGGAAGGGGAGGGATGAGGCGAGAAGGAGGCAAGGGGGCATAAAGCCTCCTCCGTCCTCCTCCGTCCTCCTCCGTCCTCCGTCCCTCGCCCCCCCATCGCCTTCTCGCCTGCTCCCCTCTTCCCCCTCCGCCCTCTGGGGGGCCTACCGACCCGGGCCACTGCAAACCGGGGTCAGTCAGGCCTGGCAAGATCCTGCAGGAGCACGCAAGATGCTGCACCCGAGCCCGGGTCAGTGCAACTGTGGCTCTGCAGGATCCTGCAAGATCCGGCGCTCTGACTGACCCCAGCTTGCTTTGACCCCCTTTGACCCCGTCTCTGATGATGACGAAAATGTTTTTTTTTCATATAAAAAAATCGGGGCTCAAGGGGAGGACGAGTGCAGAGAAAGAGGTCGAGCCCTCTGCCCGCAGAAACCGCGTTTGCGCCGCCGTGCGCTGCGCGCACGTGCCGGGGCGGCCTAATTCACCCCGCACTGCGCGCGATCAGCGGGGCGGACCACCGCCGACTAACGATCAGATCAGGGCAACTCGGAAACGGGCAGCGAAAGCTCCTCTGGCTTCGCAAGATCCACCGAGTTCCCGTAGTAATTCGAACGCTCAGACGCATGGAGATAGCATCTGATAGCGTCAGTGAAGAAGAAGGTTGGGAGCTCAACTGCAATATACGGTTGCGGCTGAAAGCGACGGTACTAGCAACTGAAACGAAGAAGATTGTGTAATCAACCGCAGGGTACACATGCAAACGGTACTCATCGTCACCGTCACATGCCGGAACAAAGGTGCACGTGCCACGTGCAGCACGACCTTCGCTGCACTTGTCACGTGCCTCGTCTTGAACTTCCCATTTCTCAGGTTCTGACGTCACTGTAGATGATGATCTAGCCAATCGGTCCACTCCTGAAGCTCCTCCTCCATGTACCCTGGTGGCGCGGCCCCGCGCAGACGACGTGCTCCTAACTGCCGCAGGCCGTCGATCACGGGGAAGCGCTTGTCGCCCAACGGTTGGATGCCCAGGATGAGCTTGGCCTGGTCCTCCTGCGCTGTTTTGGAGATCCTGCAGGCCCTGATGAGCTGCTCCGCATCCTCAGCCTTCTCGCACGCATTGACCTCCTCCACCAGCTTTTTGATGTGGCCCAGATTGGCTCCGCCGACCTCGGGCGTCGCCGCAAGCACATCCAGGAGCTCGACGACCAAGAGCGTGTGGGGAGGTCCCAAGGGTTGCGTGTCTGGGTTCTTCTCCCTGTCCTTGCGAAACAGCTCGGCCCTCTCCGCGAACATCTCCTGGGCCTCCTGCAACTTCACGATAACCTTGTGATTGTTGGGAAGGATGAACGTGTCGAGCAGTGCGCCTTCGATCATGCGAACCTTCTGAGTGATGTTCATCCCCTGCTTGAACAACAGGAGGAGCAACTCGCGCAGTCCCTTGTCCTGAACCTGGAGGGTCTTGTCCTTCTTCTAGCCCTGGTTGCGCCTCTTGCCTCCGCGTCTCGTCCGTGGTAGAGCCGCTGCAGGTCCTGCTGGTCCTCGCTTGCCTCCGTTGCCAGTATTCCCAGACGCTGGCGAGAATGCCTGGAGGCGCCACGCTGTGATGATGATGTTGATGATGATGACGATGATGATGACGACCATCCTCCTCCTCATCCTCATCCTCCTCCTCCTCCTCCTCCTCCTCATCCTCCTCCTCCTCCTCCTCCTCCTCCTCCTCCTCCTCCTCCTCCTCCTCCTCCTCCTCCTCCTCATCATCATCATCATCATCACCATTACCAGCATCATCATCATCAGCATCATCGTCCCCGCACGCCCTTGAGGGGCAGCCTCTCGCGGAAGGGGAGGAAGGCCGGGCCTGGATGGACCCCTCCGCCCCGGCGAAGGAGGGCGCCGCGTTCCGGCCGACGGAGACCACCTCGTTGGGCAGCAGGGAGTCCTGAGGCCCCCCCCCACCATGCCCACCCCAGAGATCCAACGCATTGAAAGAACCAAGACGTAGGCTTTTCCTATTTTCCGGCCTCGAAGGGCCCTCGACGGGCCCCAGGACCGTCAAAAAACGGCTCAGGACGAAGCACTGGTCCTGGGAAATGGGTCGAGACTTCCGGGGACCCCGCATTGAAAAAATCACGACATCGGATCTCTGGGACCCCTGAGATCCCTGGCCATCGCTCGGACGTCCATTCCTGTGCTTTTTCGGTTGCGTGCGTGGCATTTTCGCCAAATGATCAAGGATGCTCCTCGATGGCCCCCGCCGAGAAAAAATGCACACGTCCGAGCGATGCCAAAATCCTGGCGCCCCAGCTTCTTCGAGCAGGGCGTCTTCGCCCTCTTGTCGGGCCCTGGGGCCCTCGCAGGTCGACGCGGCCCGGAGAGCAGCGCAGGAAGCTGGGGTCCAAGGCTCCGGGCGTGATCGTTTGCGGTGTTGCATCTTTTCACTGCGTCGGAGCTCACGGCCCCCCCACACCCCCTACTGAGCTGCCACTGTGTTCATGTCTGGGGCGAGCGGGGCATGCGGTGCAGGGTCTGCTTCTCGTGTAACAAGTCGTCGCTTGTTGCGTCAACGTTTGCTCGCTTTGCGCTGCGCGTGACAAGTTTAAGGTGTATCGTATTGATGCTGGTTTCTTCTGTCGCTGTTGTTTGCGGGCGCATGCCCCGGTTGGTGCCGCAGTCGGTTTGTAGTGGTCAGTGGTGCCGGTTTGTTGGCCACGTGAGTGTGACCGTGAAAACAATCCTGCTGCATCATTGGGTATGCACAGTGGTCGTCTGCAGGGTCTTTCTGAGGGATGGCCCAGTATATGTGAGGGTGGTCGGATAGTAGTGCTAGTAGTGGGCCGCCTAACTGCGGAACTTAACTGTCCGCAGCGCTCATCGTGTCCTCGTCGGAATGGATCTCTGCGTGTTTCTGGGGCATGTCCGTGTACGTGATGCAGAGTGATGGAGTACAAATTGCGTGCTTGGTGGTAGAGTACTCGTGCTATCCTGACGATCGGGCCGTCGCTGTGCTCAAGCTGGCAAGGATGTGGACTGCGCTGGCTGGGTCAGTGCGCTGTTGCTTGTGCAAGTGTGGTGGCTGTTGCGCTGCTTCCAGAATGGCCCATCTAATAGCTGCTAACTCAGAAATTTGTGCTCTCCAAGTTGTCTCGGTGGATCTCGCTCTAGGTGCTGTTTGAGATACCTCCAATGAGAAACCCATGCATTCACGGTATGTGTTCATCGTATTTGGACGCTACAAATGTCCATACTGAGTCGGCTTGGAGGCTTGTAGCGATTTGTTTGGATAAATCAACAGGGTGGGAGCAGGTAGGTGTAAGTTGGTTGTATATTGTGAGAGCTGCTTGCGTAACTCGGTGGAATGTGATGTCAGATAGATCGCGTTGTAGTTCTAAGCGTCTGCTCCTCGTCCTCCTCCTCCTCCTCCTCCTTCTCCTCCTCCCCCTCCTCCTCCTCCTCCTCCTTCTCCTCCTCCTCCTCCTCCTTCTCCTCCTCCTCCTCCTCCTCCTCCTCCTCCTCCTCCTCCTCCTCCTCCTCCTCCTCCTCCTCCTCCTCCTCCTCTCCTCCTCCTCCTCCTCCCTCCTCCTCTCCTCCTCCTCCTCCTCCTCCTCCTCCTCCTCCTCCTCCTCCTCCTCCTCCTCCTCCTCCTCCTCCTCCTCCTCCTCCTCCTCCTCCTCCTCTCCTCCTCCTCCTCCTCCTCCTCCTCCTCCTCCTCCTCCTCCTCCTCCTCCTCCTCCTCCTCCTCCTCCTCCTCCTCCATCCTCCTCCTCCTCCTCCTCCTCCTCCTCCACCTCCTCCTCCTCCTCCTCCTCCTCCTCCTCCTCCTCCTCTCCTCTCCTCCTCCTCCTCCTCCTCCTCACTCCTCCTCCTCCTCCTCCTCCTCCACCTCCTCCTCCTCCTCCTCCTCCTCCTCCTCCTCCTCCTCCCTCCTCCTCCTCCTCCTCCTCCTCCTCCTCCTCCTCCTCCTCCTCTCTCTCCTCCTCCTCCTCCTCCTCCTCCTCCTCCTCCTCCTCCTCCTCCTCCCTCCTCCTCCTCCTCCTCCTCCTCCTTCCTCCTCCTCCTCCTCCTCCTCCTCCTCCTCCTCCTCCTCCTCCTCCTCCTCCTCCTCCTCCTCCTCCTCCTCCTCCTCCTCCTCCTCCTCCTCCTCCTCCTCCTCCTCCCTCCTCCTCCATCCTCTCTCCCCCCGTTTCACCTCCCCCCCTCCCTCGGAGGTCTGCGGAGGTCCTCGGGCGGCAGCGGAGCTCCCTTGGGCGTTGCAGGAGAAGTCCTCTCGAGACCTCGGAAGCCTCGGGCAGAAGCTCGATAGCCCGCCTCCCCAGGCAGCCACACGTGGTCCCCACTGACTACCTACCAGACCACCCCAACCCAACCCGAAGACCTGAATTTCGGGTTGGGAGGGGTAAGGGTTCCACATGTGTTTTTCCGATGTTCCCCGACCCCCCCCACTGGAAATCGATGGTAAATCTGAGCCTTCGGGTTGGGTTGGGGTGGTTTGGTGGGTGGTGACCCACCCCAGCAGGTTAGCTTTCTGAAACGCCAGGACTCAGAATCCGGAGGACGTCTGCATCCAAGCGAACCCCAGCGGGGGTGTCCGGTACCCAGGCGACGGTTCGCGATTTGCTGCAAGTCCTGGAGCCGTGGGCGGAAGTTACATCCATCTCCACGGCCTCGCGGGCCGGGCCCCTGGGCCTCGAACCACTTGATACAAGGGGCTTATCCGCAGAGGCCCCGCGCGGAACGTATCATGCGACCGCGTATCCACGGGATGGCGCCCCAGAATCCAGCCCGCGAAGGATGGATGTGGATACGTCCGCCGCTCGTGATCAAAGCTCCCCAGGGAAGACGAGGACGAGGACGAGGACGCGGACGACGACGAGGACGAGGACGAGGACGCGGACGACGACGATGACGACGACGACGACGAGGACGAGGACGAGGTTGAGTACGAGGACGAGGACGAGGACGAGGACGAGGACGACGACGACGAGGACGACGACGACGACGACGACGACGACGGCGCGGCGTCCCCTCCGCGCGAGGCTCAATCCACGCCACCCGCGCCCGCAGCGTGAGCGCGTCTTCGGGGAGGCCGCGCCCGAACGCGTCGTCGAACAGGCCGAAGTCCTTGCACACGCCCCACTCCTGGGCGACCCAGGGCCCGAAAAGCCGCGCTGGATCCCGGTGAGCGCTGTATCCGTCGGGGTTTCGACATTGGGCGGAAGGGTCGGGGATGGACAGACCCCCCTTTAATTAAATGTGGTTTAGTGAAAACGACCTGAGGCCCAAACCTGGCGGGCGCAAGCTTGGAAAATGACGGCCACGGCGCCCTCACGAGAGCCGAAAACGGACAATTCACTAATCGACGTGTCACTGTTGGGGGTTCTGTCCACCGCGGAAGGGGGGGGACTCTGGCCCGGGACCTCTGCTTAACGCGACTGTTTGCAGCAGTGCGTCCTACGGGGGAGACTCCACCTGCTCGAAACAACCAAAAACAGCCAAGATCTACTCCATGGGGGGGGGGACGAGGACCCGCGCCGAATGGCAAAACAATGAATTCGCCGGCCCAACAGGCCAGAGGCGTGCTAAGATCTCCGGTAGATGGTTAACAATATTTCTAGTTCGCGCGCGCGGGGCGGCCCCTGGGGGCCCCCGGACGAAAAGTACCCCTTCAAAGTCCCGGGAGAAGCCCCCACAGCGCTTCAAGGGAAGGCCATTTTTCGACACCACTCGTGGCCTCCGAGGGGGCAATTAGCCGCAATCGACTACCCCCCTCCCGCCCCAAGAGGCTCCAAAGAGCCCCCCAAGAGGCCCTGGGAGCCCCCAGGACGCCGCCAAGGAGCCCCAAGAGACTCCCAAGAGGTCCCCAAGAGGCCCCCAAGAGGCCCTAAAGAGGGCAACCGGGCCAGCGGAATGAGCGAAACGATTAAATGAGAAAACGATCACCTGAGATCCTGGCGTCTCCATCTTATTCGAGGCGGGCGTTCTCCCCTGGTCCACAAAGCCCTTGGAGCTTCGCACGTAGATCTGGCCCGGAAAATGGCGCAGGAAGACGGGGTCTGGGACTCCCCTTCAGCGGCAACTCATGGGAACCTCCCACCAACCTCATGGGAGCCTCCCATACCATCTTGTCGGCTCTTGCGAATCGACGCTAGTCGGCACTAAATCGACGCTAGTCGAGCTTGAATCGACGCCAATCGCCGCTAATCGACGCCAAATCGGGCTACCCCATCGACCCCCAGACGCTGATCGACGAATGTCGACGCCAATTCGCAGTCGAAGCGAGAATCAGTGCCAGCAACAGTGTGAAACACAGCCAGAGCGACGAGGAAGGAGGGCGAGGAGTGGGAGGACGAGGCGGGGAAGGACGAGGGAGGAAACGGCGTGTTCCCACCGAGCGGCCTGATCGTGCACGCGGCCCGAGTCGTTTCTTGACGGTCCTGGGACGCAGTGAGGGCCGCTAGAGGCCGAAGACAGCGAAAAATTTAGGCTGGGCATGTCCTCCGACAGGCGGATGTTGGAGTAAATCGGAAATTAGGGGGTGAGATCGCAGTAACACGGACACCCCCAACAGGGAAATCGGTTTCGGTTTCGCGTTCGCGTCGCGCGTGCGGGCAAGGGAGGCGAAGCTGCGCGTGATCTTCCTGTAGGTAGGCCGACGAAGTCGGAGCAAAAATCCGTTCCCGTCCGCGGGTGGCTGGGAGGTGTCCCAATTGGGCCGGGCGGTGTCCCGGGTGTCCTTAGTGTCAGTAGGAGCGAAAGTCCGTTTCCCGTCCGCCGGTGGCCGGAAGGTGTCCCAATTTGGCCGGGCGGTGTCCCGGGTGTCCCAGGCGTCCTGGCGCTAACGCGTGTCGCTAATATCATAATTCATTTCTGTCGGCGCCTGCGGCGGGCTTTCTTATCCAATCGAGCTTATATTATCAAATCCATATTGCCCAATCCAGACAATTTGATCTTATCCAACCCATACTGTCCCATCTTATCATATCCCACCCAATCCAATCCATAAATTCATGTGTTTCTGCGCCTGCGGCGGGCCAATCCAATCCATCTTATATGATTCAATCCATCTTTTCCAGTCCAACCCTTCTTATCTTATCTTACCTTATCCAGTCCATCATATCCCGTCCAGTCCGGTCCGGTCCACCCAACCCGATCGATCGATCCATTTTTGTCGGCACCTGGGCGCGATCGCGGCAGACTGCGAAGCTCGAGCGTTCGGCGCCCTTGCCTTCCGGAAGTCGCCCCATGGCGTCCCTCCGTCCGCCTGCCATGGCGCCCCCCGCGAAAAACATTCTCCGCGCGGCGCTCCCGGGGCCAGGCGCTGCCATTCCTGGGGGCGGTGGCGCGGGCCAGGCTCTGCCAGCCCTGACTGGTGCGGCCTGCCCAGGGTCGCGCAGGGAGGCGCAACGGTTCGAATATGCCCGGCACTCTTTATCCAATCCATCGGTCGTGAGACCGACAGTGAGATTCACCGATAGGTCGGTCGACGGATAGGTAGATAGTTGGATCTCATCGTCATCGCGGTCGTGACTGTGGTGGAGGGAGACTCTAATAGGAAGGGAGAAGAGAGAGAGAGAAAGAGAGAGAGAGAGAGAGAGAGAAAAGGCGAGACAGAAAGGGACAGAGAGAGAGAGAGAGACAGAGAGAAAGAGAGAGATGAGGTCAGGGTGACAGGCGGGAGGTCAGTCAGGGTGGGCATTTGATCTCAATCCCCCCCAACCTACTTATCGCCCGCAGGGCGGTCGTATAGGTAGTATTATAAACAATTCGCCTGGCGAAGGACCCAACCATGAACAGTTGTGGGTGCCGCTGGTGTGAGCATCGACTTTGGCGGCGCTCCCTGTGGGACCGTGGGACCACGAATCGTGTGAGGGGGGTGCCGAAGTACTAGGGCCGGGGCGGCGGCGGCGGCGGCGACCGCGAGCCAAGGTCGCGAAACGCGTGAGAAGTGTGTGCATGTGGTGTGTGTGTGTGTGTGTGTGTGTGGTGTGTGTGGTGTGTGTGCGTGTGCGTGTGCGTGTGCGTGTGCGTGTGCGTGTGCGTGTGCGTGTGCGTGTGCGTGTGCGTGTGCGTGTGCGTGTGTGTGCGTGCGTGTGCGTGTGTGCGTGTGCGTGTGCGTGTGCGTGTGCGTGTGCGTGCGCGTGCGCGTGTGCGCGTGCGTGTGCGCGTGCGCGTGCGCGTGCGCGTGCGTGCGCGTGCGCGTGCGCGTGCGTGCGTGCGTGCGTGTGCGTGCGCGTGTGTGTGTGTGTGTGCGTACGTGCATGTGTGCGTGCGTGCGTGCGTGCGTGCGTGTGTGTGTGTGTGTGTGTGTGTGTGTGTGTGTGCCGACATGGGCGGCGGGGGCGCATGCAAACTGCGCCGCTGGATCGCAAGTGGAACTCCCTAGGGGACACGAAACGTGTTAGGGCTGTGCCGACATGGGTGGCGGGGACGCATGTGGGCAGCGCCATTCGAGCCTTCGGTGGAGTCCCCTTAGCGGCCACGAAAAATGTGAGGGGTGTGCCGACATGGGTGGTGTGGACGCATGTGGGCACCGCCACTGGGGCCGCCGGTGGAGCTCCCTAATTAGGGGACCACGAAGCGTGCGAGGGGTGGGCTGACATGGGTGGCGGGACGCATGTGGGCAGCGCCACTGGTGCCTTCGGAGCTTCCGATGGAGCCACGAAACTTATGCGGGGTGTGCCGACATGGGTGGCGGGGACGCATGTGGGCACCGCCACTGGGGCCTTCGGTGGAGTTTCCTATGGGGCCACGAAGCGTGTGAAGAGTGTGCCAACAGGGGTGGTATGGACGCATGTGGGCACCGCCTTTGGGGCCGTCGGTAGAGCTCCCTGGGGGGCCACGAAACGTGTGAGGGGTGTGCTGACATGGGTGGCGGGGACGCATGTGGGCAGCGCCACTGGTGCCTTCGGAGGAGCTCCCGATGGAGCCACGAAACTTATGCGGGGTGTGCCGACATGGGTGGCGGGGACGCATCTGAGCACCGCCACTGGGGCTTTCCGTAGAGCCTCTTAAGGGGCAACGAAACGTGTGAAGAGTGCGCTGACATGCGTGGCGGGGGCGCATGCGGACACCGCCACTGGGGCAGGATGGTACGAAACGTGTGAAGGGTGTGCCAAAAAGGGTGGCGGGAATGCACGTGGTTACCGACAAAGGGGCTTTCCGTGGAGCTTCCTATGGGGCCACGACGCGTGTGGGAGGTTTCCTGACATGGGTGGCGGGGACGCATGTTTGCACCGCCACTGGGACCTCCGGTGGAGTTTCCTATGGGGCCACGAAGCGTGTGAGGAGTGTGCCAACATAGGTGGCGGGGACGCATGTGGGCAAAGCAATTGGGGCCTTCGGGGGAGCCCCCTGCGGGGCCACGAAACGTGTAAGGAATGTGCCAACATGGGTGGCGGGGGCGCATGTGGGCACCGCCATCGAGACGATCTGTAGAGCTTCCGATGGAGCCATGGAGCCATGCAACGTGTGAGGGGTGGGCCGACATGGGTGGCGGGGACGCATGTGGGCAGCGCCATTCGAGCCTTCAATAGAGCTCCCTAGGGGGCCACGGAACGTGTGAGGAGTTTGCTGACATGGGTGGCGGGGACGCATGTGGGCACCGCCACTAGGGCCGCCGGTGGAGCTCCCTACAGGGCCACGAAACGTGTGAGGGGTGTGCTGACATGGGTGGCGGGGACGCATGTGGGCAAAGCAATTGGGGCCTTCGGTGGGGCTTCCTACAAGGCCACGACGCGTGTGAGGGGTGTGCTGACATGGGTGGCGGGGGCGCATGTGGGAACCGCCATTCGAGCCTTCAGTAGAGCTCCCTATGGGGACCACGAAACGTTTGAGGAGTGTGCCAGTATGAGTGGCGGGGACGCATGTGGGCACCGCCACTGGGGCCGTCGGTGGAGTTCCCTCCAGGGCCACGAAACGTGTGAGGGGTGGGCTGACATGGGTGGCGGGGAAGCACGTGGGCAAAGCCATTGGGGCCTTCGGTGGGGCTTCCTACAAGGCCACGACGCGTGTGAGGAGTTTGCTGACATGGGTGGCGGGGACGCATGTGTGCACCGCCACTAGGGCCTTCGGTGGAACTCCCTACGGAGCCACGAAACGTGTGAGAGGTAAATAGCGGGCGATGGCGGCAATAATGATGACGATGACGGTGACGGTGACGGTGACGGTGATGGTGGTGATGCTGATGATGCTGATGATGATGTTGCTAATGATGCTGATGCTGATGATACTGGTGATGATGATGCTGATGATGATGATAATGATCATGCTGATGTTGATGATGATGATGATGATGCTGCTGCTGCTGCTGATGATGATGATGATGATGATGATGATGATGATAATGATCATGCTGATGCTGATGCTGCTGCTGCTGCTGATGCTGCTGCTGCTGCTGATGATGATGATAATGATAATGATGATGATGATGATGATGATGATGATGATGATGATGATGATGATGATGATGATGATGATGATGATGATGATGATGATGATGATGGGAGGAGGAAGTAGGGAGGAGGGGGAGGAAGAGAGGAGGAGAAGGAGGAGAAGGAGGAGGAGGAGGAGGGGAGGAGGAAGGAGGAAGCAACGCGGGGCGCTGCCTGTTCAAAACGAAGACCCAACACCGAAGGATGGTTGGGGAAAAATGCCAAATACAACATCAAATCATGTCAAATCGTCCCCAGAGGGACACGCCCGACTTAACGAAACGCGTCAGTCTTGTTTTTTCTTCAACTCGTTGGACATGTGGGCCCGGGCGTGATTTTTCATCATGCTTGCAGTCTGTCGCTGCGCTGGATCTCAGGGCGAGGCTGCCCCCTCGGGGTCGCCTCCCACGAGGGGCCCGACGCGGCCCCCGAGGCCGCCAGGACTCGCTCCCGGGCCAAGCGCAAGCCATGGTGGACCCCAGGGAGGGGCCCGTGGGGCAATGTCGAGCACATGGGTCACGGTTATCGGGGGTGCTTGTCTTGGCGTCGTTCGGACGTCCGATTCCCGTGCATTTTTCGGTTTCGTGCGTGTTTTTTCTCGATGGTCCAGGATGGTCCTGGATGGTCCTCGCCCCCAAAAAAATGCACACGTCCGAGCGATGCCAGGAGCAAATGGGTCACGGTTATCGGGGGTGCTTGTGACCGTTGTTTATATGTGTTACCCTTTCCCGGGTAGCGGACATTACCCTTGGGAGGGGAGGGGGGTCGGGCGAGCGGGTGACGGTCACGGCGGCCGCGGCGTGCACCCGCCAGGGTGCGCCCGCGCCACAGGCGCATCCATCGCCTGTGCGCACCTAAGCATGAAGGGTGGGGGGTCCAGGCCCCCCCCCAGTACGATTGCTAGCGTTACCGGGGGGGGAGGGGGGGGGTTCGGCCCGGGTAACGAGGCGCTGCCCCAGGAAAAACACAAAACGCTCACCTTCCTGTGTCAACTCCCTTATCCTCATCCTCATCCTCCTCCCCTGAGATCCGGCGCTGCGAAAAAGCTGCAGCATCGCGAAACATCACGACCGGAGCACTGGGCCCCATCTGTCTGCGTCAGTTACCGAGGTCTGGGGGCCCGAAACGGAGCGAACACGGCCGTGGTGACAAAACTGCAACGCCAGGACCTGAGGGTCCTGCTTGTTCCTCCGTCCTGGGAAGAGCGCGGAGGAGAAACGAGGCGGGAATCCGTCCGCTGCTGCTGCCGCTGCTGCTGCTTGTCACCTGCCGAGCTGCTGCCTACCGAAAGGGACGCGGGGAAGCCCTGGACGGCGAGCCGCACACTCGCCAAGCCGTCTGGTGCGGCCCGTGGCTCACGGCGGACGCCGAGCTCTGCGAGCACCCCAGCTCAGCAAGGGTTGCTTGAACAACCGAACTGTAACAGCGCTGTGGGAATGAACCCTACTTTTTGGACGCCCGAAATGGGTACCGAAAAAAATTGTACAATGCCCAACAGCAAATGTTGTCCCAAACCAACAGCGGCCGCTGTTGGGCGGGCGGCCTCATGTCTCAAATGGACACAGGCCGCGGCGGCGCGGACAGCGAGTCCTGTTCAAAATGAACAGGAACTGCTGTTGGGCATCGTACCCATTCTTTCCGTACCCATTTCGGGAGTCCAAATACTTGGCGCTGAGCCGGGCTTCTCCTGTCCGGAACCTCTTCACCACGCTCTGGTTGTAAACAGGCCCGGCCCTCATGGAACGCATCGCCTCGGCACTCTGAAATACAAGGTGACGAACGAGGACGGGACGCGATTGCCCCAGAAACCCCAAGAAATAAGATTGAGAATCGAATTG